AAGCACTGGTTTCAGTAATTACTAAAATAACACATTCACTGCATAACATTTTCTGAAAAGACAAAACTGAATCAAGTTTAATCATGGTTTAAGTTTAACTAAACTGAAATGTGTATTGATTGAACAAAGAGAAAAAAACAAAAAAAACATCTCTCATCGTTCTCTGTGCCTCCCCCCCTCTCTCTCTCCTTCCCTCTCTCTCTCTCTCTCTCTCTCTTTCCGAGGACGTTCTATCTATCTATCTCTCATCATATCTATGCCACCAGACTTGACTACTTCAAACCTGATATGAAAAGTGTTAATTCTGTCTCATTGACGACAAAGCGCGACGCGTGCCTCCGGTGGAGAACACAATCACACTCGCTTGTTAAAGAAACACTCGGGGTAAAACTTCACACCTCCTGCGCCACAGACGAGGCTTAGGGCGGGGCCAACGCATCACCGTGAAAAACTTCGATCCTAGAGAGCTAGGGCGAGAGTAGCCTCTATCAGGCTTCAGGAGACGGCTGGAAAGAGTAGAAATCGGACAAATAGAGAGTTAACATGCCGAGGGAGTTGGTCTGCTAGAGAGAACATTTTGCCGCACCTCTCTATATAAATTTGAACGATTTCTACTCTTTCCAGCCGTCTCCAGAAGCCTGGTAGAGGCTAGGCAAGGGATAGAAGCCCCGTCATACAAATAGGACGGCACCGGGCTCCTACATGTAGAGCTTGCTAAGGGAAATTTTGACAGTTGATAGCCCACATTTTACTGGTAAAAGTACCTAACAGCAAGGACGTTCAACACTTGCTAACAGAAATAAACGTCATCTTTCAGGTCTACAAATAGTATACAGGAGTTTTCTTTTACACAACCAAGATTTCTCACCTAAGTTCTTACGTTTCGGTGTCTATCACTATCAGACACCTATCAGACAGCTTCTGACTGGAGTTCTGTAACCGTAAAGTCAAGGAGGTTTAAAATCTTGTATTTAGCCTTCTTGGTAAAGTATAGCATACAGGAGGTTTCTTTACACAATCAAGATTTCTCACCTAAGCTAGTATGTAGAAGCTCTGCGGAAGGTGTCTGATAGACACCGAAACATAAGCACTTAGGTGAGAAATCTTGATTGTGTAAAGAAACCTCCTGTATGCTATACTTTACCAAGAAGGCTAAATACAAGATTTTAAACCTCCTTGACTTTACGGTTACCAATATTTTAGGAAGGCGACAAATAGTGTTTCAAGCCACTAATTGCTTGTCCTGGTTTACCATCACTCTAATGTAATTGTCGCAATTTTGGTTCTTAATTTGGTTGTCTTGTCTCCATTATCCGACGTTTTGGTCAATCACTGGGGGCTAAAGATGACGGCATCGCCTGGCATAATGCCCGCATTATGTGACCGTGCCGCGGCCCTGCGTTGGTCGCCCGAGTTTGCATGTAAAAGTCCCGCGCGCGTGGGAAAACAAGGCGGCCTGGATTTGCCACACAAAGACCGGCAACAGGTCGCTTTTACCCCCGTCACATTGTCGACGAGCTTCGGCCGTATTTGTCAATCGCCGAAAGATCGGCCGATTTTGAGATCGACCGACGATCGCGCGTATTTTTGGCTTGAAAATCGTCGTGGTCACATTGTGCGAGGGTCGGACGATCGCTTGGGAATACATCTATGATAATGAAGTCCCTATAACATGGCAAGCAGATGAAGCAAGGCCAGTGTATCCACCTAAACATGAATAGTTTGGCCAATTTTTATGTTTGACCTGTCGTAATATTTTTTTGCAAAGTAATGGAGCGGACTGGCAGAATAAATAGAAATATAAACAGGAATTCTGTGAAAGATCCAACTCAAATACTACCACAAGAGCCACAAATTTACACTACCGTCTGGTTAACACAACGACCACCTTTTTAACCAGACAGGAGTCGGCCGAAGCTCGCTCGACACACGGGCGTACGTCGCCCGAGTTACGTTCGACGATCTATCGATGCTCGCACGATCTATAGACCATTCAACCAAAATGTACAACAACATAATGATTATCATTATATCAAAATCTTTTTTATACACGTATACGTGTACCTGAACAAAGCTAATAAGATATATTATTCTAAAACTTAACCTTTATAGATCTACTTCTGTCTAAAATAGTATGAATCCTCCGGTAAACAAGTTTATTATCCATTCAATGGCATCAAAGTAAACGGAGGTAAAAAGAGCCATGCAATATAAACTTCAACTAGTAAGTAATATCTCTCTATCACATGACGTTCTTGTGGGCACCATAAGAAACAAGTCAACCTTATTCCAGAATGAACAAGTGGAAAAGTCAATTTATTGTACAACCTCCTAAAGGAACAAGAGTAAAGGATTTCATTTGCGTTCAATCAGTTGGGTTCAAAATCTAGACTAGGCATTTGACTTTATATAGTGAAAACCTTTTAATTTCTTAAAAGTGGTAACAAATGTTGATTTAACAAAAGTACAAAAAGGACAATTTTATCTATTTGTATCCTTTCTCGTAAACATAACGTTAACAATCGGTGGGACGTTGCTCCTGCAAACTTTACAAAGTATACTGTCAATAAAATCTGAAATAAATGTCACAGGTGCCAAATAAATAATAACTTCACAGGAGCTCGACCGAGGCTCGTAGAACCTTCGTCCGACACTGGCACGAAGATCGCTCGAAGCACGCACGATTTTAAAAACGTTGCGCAAGTCGGGCGAGGTACGGAAGAGGGTCTCCCGATTATTTCGCGAAGCTCGCGCGAGGGTCGACCGTATTCAGCGACCATCGCCCGATTTTCGAAGACAAAGAACGGCCGACACTCGTGGGATGTACGTCCGAATATCGGTCGACTCTCGGTCGTACAGGGACGAGCTACGGGCGAGGTACGCGCGAGCTGGAAACGAGCTCTGCGACCTCAAAAATCGCCGGCGACTAGTCGCTGATGTTAAGAACACGTTTCGCGTGTCAGCGAGCTTCGGCCGACTCCAAAGAATCGCCGGCGATCCCGAAAATTCGCGCGATGCTCGACGGAACATCGGGCGTACTACGGCCGTAAATGTCGTTTAGAGCTCGCCAACTAGTCGGCCGATCGATTTACGCGCAATGTGACGGGGGTATTTGGAAGACAATGGTCAACTGAAACCCCTGGGAAGTCATAACAGTGAGAAAATTATTTCGCCCAGAAAATTCTTCAGCTCAGACAATGAAGGGTTTTCTCGTCTTATTCCTTTGGGGAGCGTCAAATGGTGGGAATCTTTGCGGTCTGAACCTTGTGGTATTAACTCAATAAAGCTTCGGATCCAGGGGAAATTACGTCATTGTTTGACATGTCGGCGACTACAAACATGTTTAACAGTGTCCCAGTCACAAATGAGTAAGCATTGAGGAAACAATATCTTAGAGCAAGCTGGTTTAGAGTAAAATGGGAAATTTGTATAACTACTAGTAGCTCATGGGCAACATAGCATTCTTTGGATAGAATTAAACTGATAGTTTAATCAAATAAAAAACTTTAGTTTGCATAGTTTCCCCGTATTCGTTGAGAAATGTGGTCAAATAGCTGTTGCATAACTGTGTATAAAGACTTAGAGGGCCCATTATACGCCAATAACAACAGGCAGCTACCTGAATTGGGCACCTTTGAGCTTTCTTTTTTCAATATTAAGCTGCAGTATATGTGCTATTTCCGCTATGAAATAATTGGTTTAAAATGTTATAATTATTGTTCAACAAAATTTAACGGAAGGCATGTACAACTACTACTTCAAGGAAGCTAAATCTACTCTACAACAGACAGTATTGTATGGGATGAGGCTACATACATGTATATTGGCTGTCAGCCGTGTATACATAGATATTTTCTGTACATGACGTTACCCCCACCCCACTACACACACCACACACGCACACACACACCGGTAAATTAGATGCTAAAACTGTGTCTGTGAAAACAAATCGGCCACGCGTCAAGCTGCTTGCTCAAGGACGTGTGAACTAAAAGACAAACTCCGGTACCATAGGTGCGAAGTGGCCCGGTGTGACACGTTTTTTGATGACCCAGTGCCAAACGTGTGTCGCGCGCGTGCCCACGCCACGGTGTGACAAAGGTACACTAGCAGCTGTGTCCAAACTGTCGTCGACATTACGCAAGCACGCATGTGTGTCATTTTGCCACGACAGTTAAACTTAATTGCTGAAACTGACGTACAAAATAATTGTATGCACTCTAATTGATTCTATTTTTACTAGCCTCCACAGCATGCCAAAAACTGGGGGTTTTGGGGGTCTTCATGGTCTTGGGAGCTTTTATGTGCTATTTTCTGATTGCATATAGAAAACATAGCCGGCCTGGTTGAATTACCCCCGTTTTTAAAAAAACAGCCAAAGACCACCAAACCCCAGTTCTATAAGCCTTCTACGGAGGCTATTTTTTTTGCTGAGAAATTTTACAGACATCTTGCAAAGATGTGGCAGTTTTCTTTACACGAATGAATCATGTAGAATCAATGTATGAATCACGTTTTCACGTGTTGAGTTTATCTCTCTTTTCAAAAGAAGAAGAGCGTGCCTTGAGGCTGGTTTTACGTCTCTTTGAGTCGAGCCGTGGGAACGGTTGGGAAACCCCGAGGGTAAACAATTATGTTCTTGACTCTTAACGCTTCTGTGGCGCTCATGTCCTGATTTTTTACAGAGAAGAACAACCAAGAATCTGCTTACAGAACCACACAAGTAGACAGATTTTAAGCTGTAAGGTCTTGGTATTGTGCACAGATATAATAAGTTATACACAGAGATAGGTTTTAAGAATGGGACAGTGGAGATGTGCTATTTTGTCTTTTTTCTGGGAGATAGCTGGAGGGTTATCAGATTTGTGGGTGGAGTTTTCCCACACTCCGGCCGACCGTCAGACAAAGGGCCCGGCACGTGCTTAGCACGGTAATAAGGTACATGTCGGCAGATGTCAGCCGCCAGTGGACGGACGCCGCAACCGACGCTCGCCCACCAATCAGGAGCGACGACTCATCTTGCGCTGTACAGCCTTGATCAATCAGAAGGCCCGACACATACGGTCCCACTTGCCGTGATTGGTCGAGAGTGCAGGTATGCTTTGTCGGAGCTCGGCGGCAAAAGGCAACAAAAGGACCGCCTGTAGGTATAAAAACCCGTCGCCTGCCGGACACTCGCCACACCGACCACCGCTCGTGTTGGGAACGGACCTCTTCCTACTATCGCTTTATCCACGACACGCTTACGACGTACGGCCGACAACATGCCGATAGAGAAGTTCGTCGAGTCTTTCGCCCCTTCTCCCTACCAGTCTCGCAAGGTAAGAATACGTGTTGTGTGTATTTTCTATCCGTCCTAAACTGTATTCCATGACTTGCTATTGTTCTAACAGTGCGATAGCTTCATGGTAAAATTTAACAGAATGTGCATTTTAAAATTCTGAAACATGTCGTAATTTTGCAAGCTATAAATATGTACAGAAACACTACTGTGAGGTTTAGATATTTACCAGTGCTATTGTTTCATTGCCTCAGTCGTCCAAGCCTCTAATGGAGAAACGTCGCCGCGCCAGAATCAACAACAGTCTGAACGAGCTGAAGAAACTCATTCTGGACACCTACAAGAACGACGTGAACGTGAGTATCTATAACAACACGCCTATGATGTCAAATACTTAGCGTTAGCCTGTATGGCAACTCATAGCTAGGTTCTATAACTGAGGAGGGTGGCTGTGGTATAACTTCTGTGGGGGCATATTGGCCTATAACGACGTGAACGTAAGTGTCTATAACAATACGTCTATTATGTCAAATACTTAGCGTTAGCCTGTATGGCAACTCATGGCTAGGTTCTATAACTGAGGAGGGTGGCTGTGGTATAACTTCTGTGGGGGCATATTGGCCTATAACGACGTGAACGTATATATCTATAACAATACGCCTATGATGTCAAATATTCTTAGCCTAGGTACCAGACCCATAGCAAGATAGGTCCAGGTTCTAACTGAGGAGGGGGGCTGTGGTATGATTTCTGTGGTTTGATTTCTGTGGGGGCATATTGGCCTAGAAGCCGATGAACTGGCTTGTGTGTAGGCCCTTGAAATAGTCTGGCACCCAGGCTAGATATGCTATGTCTTGTCGGGCTACTAGTATGTACGAATCCAGAATGTATCCGTTGATGTCTGGCACCCAGGCTAGATACCTTTTTTGTTGGGCTACTAGTACTAGTCGAGAATGTATTTTTCAAATCGTTGACGTTTATGGTTGATGTAAGTTACTTATGTTTTGTTTGTCCTTTTCCAGTCTAGTTCCCATTCCAAGCTGGAGAAGGCCGACATCCTTGAGATCGCCGTGAAGCACGTCCGCAGCCTGCAGAGGCAGCAGATGGCCGCCTCCGCCGACCCCGCTGCGCTGGGCAGGTACCGGGCGGGCTACAGCCGCTGCCGGGCCGAGGTGGCCCGCTTCATGGGCACGGTGGACGGCGTGGAGCCGCAGGTCAGGCAGAAGCTGCTCAACCACCTGGACAGCTGTAGCCAGAGGGTGGAAAACGCGGTACGCACCACCAGAGTTCAGCCTCCCGTCGACACCGCTCCGCGGACCGGCTACCTCCCCAGCCAGCTCCCGCGCCAGCCGTCTCCTGTTCCCGCTACAGTGTACGGCGTCGTCCCGGTCCCTATGGTTCCTACTACAGTGAGTCTGCCGAGCCAGACCATCCCCTCAAGTCAACACACAGTCCCGTACGTCAACAAGATGAAGAAGAAGACAACACCAACTCCCGCCAGACTGTCTCCAGTGCACATGTACGGACTCACACATTCCCCGGTCGGTGCTGCAGAGAACGGACTCACCACCGCGACGACCAACCACCCCTCCTCGGCACGGACCGCAGCCCTCCCCGCCGGATTCCCCGTCACCCTTCCGGTCAGCGAGACCGACAAGGTGTGGAGACCGTGGTGAACAATGTACACTATCAATCCTGAACTTTGCTGCTGCAAAATGCTGTAATTACATTGAATGCGCATAACGTGTTTCTGTTTGTAAATAATACCAGATTTGTACAAACCGGTGTGTGTGTGTGTACAAATACACATTTGCACGAGTTTGTTACATAGCTATTTTCTTATGCAATAAAATGTTTCAAATGAACATGAATATTGTTTGTTGTTTATTGTTGTTCATGTGTGAGGGACGGAAACAGACAAGTAATCAGATTCCACAGACAACGTAACAAGATAGCTATTCAAAGATAAAGCTTTTTTGCGTGTTTATAGGCTTTTTCATCAGGCTTTTTTTTTTCACTGGTATTTCTTTTACGCCAACAAGCCAAATTTGGTATCACTGGAAAGATAGTCCAATACAATGATAAAACCTAAAACACGCCAAAGGTCAGCCAAAACTCAAACCTCTGCTTGGAGAGTAGCAAGCCCTATGTCGCCTTCAGTCAGAAGAATCTATCATCATTTCCGTCATGCTCTTTATGCTTCATTGTTCAATCAAACAGAACTGTCGCAAAGTTTAAAGCGCCAGTATCATGCTGGGATCTTCTATTCAACGCACCAGTCGGACTGCATGTGAATGGTACGAAAGACATCGGGATTTCTCGCATGAAGAAGTTTTGGCCTTTTCGCTATGCTAATTGTTTTGACATCACATGGCTGTGTAAGTGCGCATGTATATATCGTGACCAACATTAAAAAATCAACATGAAGGCATTCTTACACCATACAATTTTTGGGCTACAGAGGAAAACACAGAAGAGAAAAACGTAGGCGTATACGAACTAGTGTAGACATCGATTTATAAACACAGGATGTATGATATTTAAATAATACTGTAACAGGCAGAAATCTCAATTTTGTTCAAACACGATTCCAACAGCAACAATGTTTTCAGAAAGAAATGTATCCAACGTCTGACTGTTCAACTTCTCGTTGTTTCAACGTATGAAGTTGATGTTAGGTTAATATGTATTTTGTCTTGTCCCATGGCCTTTCAATGCTATCTTCACGTCTACAAGCAATTCTATTCCTATGTAACGATGTCTTTTGAGCTAAAATCATTTTCAAGTTTCAATATCACTTCTGCTTTCGTTAGTCAAAAATGCGCCCCACAAAAAGCACACAAGTACATGTTGACTTCCATTTATAGATTGAAAACATGTTCAAAAAAGATGACCCAACATTTAAAGACCATACTATTATTATATAGGGTTTGTCTAGCCTCCTTCGCATGCAGTCTTGTTATGGGCGTCGGCGTTATTTTTTCTCTGAGCGACGCGAGTAATATGCGGCCGCGAGCTAGGGACGATTTGCTGCCGAGGGAGTATTTGCCACGGAGAGAAGGTTGGAGCGCGAAACCTTCTCTCTTGAAACGCATATTACTCGCGTCGCTCAGAGAAAAACTAACGCCGACGCCCAACAAGACTGTGAAGGAGGCTAGGGTTTGTCGGCATCAGAGTTTCAGTCTTTGAACGACCGGTGTGGTACGCCCGATCCAGTTGGTCCGGAACGAAAGAGAATTGAAAGACTCTGAAGAGTTTGTCATCAAACCGTGGAAAAATCACCAAGACAACCGTCATTGATTCAGTTCAGGACGGCAAACAACGAAGTCAGGTGCACATAATGTGGGGCGTTCATATTAGATTCAAACGGGTAGAACCAAAGCAGCAACAACACAGACTTGATTAGAAACCACGACACAAAGGGCAGGGAACCACAGAGCTGGGTTAGTCTGAGGGCAGAAGGTACTGTGTTTGGAAGCAGAGGTCAAATATTACACAAAGGAGTTTACTTAACCCCCAATTCAATTAGACTGGAGACCTGACTGTGGAGCGTGAGTTCTGGGGTTTGGCCACGCGAACTGTTGGAGAGCGGACAAAACGGCGGCACGGGGCGAAATGTTCAGTCAGGGGAGTGTGGTCTCTAGAGCTTGTGTCGTTAGAATGGCGAAAGGGTTGCAAATACGGGATAAAAGGAACCTCCTTTCACACGGACAAATAAAATGGATACTTCTCTTCCTGCTTTGAAAGCAAAGAACATATACGCGAAGTATAGGCGTTTTTAAGATAAACTATGGGTAAATTCATGAGCCAAACTATGAGATTTTCTTTGTCCCGAGGTTTGTATAGTTTTTCAATTTTCCCACGAGAAAATTTACCCACAAGGCCTTGCAGAAAGTCCAATAAGTATAAACTATGGGTAAATTCATGAGCCAAACTATGAAATTTGTATAATTTTCCATTTTCCCACGAGAAAGTTCCTTGCAGAGACCAAACAGGAACTTTCTCAACCATCGACGTTTGAAGGAAAATTTCCATCTAAACCGGCAGAAGAAAAGAGACATGATAAATGTCCGCCCGCTGAACAAATATCTATAGAAGCTGGTGTAAAATCTGCCACATCTTCCATCACCGCGTCACCAATGTGTCTCCCAGCGCTTGCACACAGGAAAAATGGTTTCCAGCCTCGCCGTGTGCGTCTCTCCCAGTGATGATCTATGTCATCAGAAACATGCCGCCACCTGTTGAGCCGCTGGTGTGAAAAGTCTTTGTGTCAGACATGGAGCGGGGAAGAAGCCAGAATCGGGCCTGAATGAAATCTCACACCGGAACATCTTGAATATAACTTTTATTTTACCACAGACAAGTACATGTATTTAGAAAACCCTCTATAAAAACAAATGCAACACTTTCAGCGTAGCACTACATGTATTTACAGCTAGTTTTCATATATTACCTTTATCAAACGTATAGTTTTTGACACAATAGGATGTATCAAGTTCATAAACTAAGCAAGCGAAATAAAACCCTATCTCTTTACGAGACAACATTGCTTTCCACGCTTCCTTGTCGTAAAACAACTTGATCACTCTTTGGGTGTCATCGTTATACTGTCCAGTTAATAAACTCTTATGATATCAAAGTTATCACAATACACGCTCAACTGGGAGTTGAATTGTTTTGTATCTTTGTATGTATTGTTTTCGTCACTGAAGGGTTATCGGTTTCATCTACACCTGGCCCTTCAGCTTATCTTATCTTCAAATGAAAAGCCGATTCATTAGCGTTCGGAGATACCCTCAAATATTACCAAAAATCGCCATCGAATCTCTAAACAGATATGTCGATCAGAGTTGTTAAGTGGTTTTTATGGTCTTTTTGCGTTTTTAATTCTAGGTCTCTCTGGTGTGTTCTTCATTTTCTTTTTCGGTTTACCTCCTGAAATGCCAAGCATTAGAGAGAAAAATGTGAAAGAGAGAGAGAAAGAAAGAAAGAAAGAAAGAGCGAGAGAGCGAAAGAAAGAGAGAGAAACAGACAAAAAGGTCGTATAAGATCCACAAAACATGCATGTATCTGTTTCGAGATCAATGTTTAACCGTTCGACGAAGGAAAAGAAATGAGGGACTAAATTTCTCCATGATACGACGATTGAAGTACATGTAAGTACCGACAATAGGGTGAAATCTAGCCCATCTAAGTTTAATTAAAAGCCGTTTCATTTTGTCGAGTTCGTGGGATGATAAGATAATAATGTGTGAACAGGTGAGCAAGTTCCGGTCGGTACCTCCCTGAGGAAGGTGTGATAGATATAATCTCCAAACAGATTCAGTGGGACAAGGGGCCTTCATGTTGTCCGCCTGTATCCAACGTTCGCCCCACGTAAACTCCTACCGAAAACTGCGCACCTACTTAGAAATCGGGCGAAATGTGTCTGAACATTTGAAAGGCTTGAAGCCTTCCGTTCTGTGGCAGATTCTTGGGGAGAACGTTGGATACAGGCGGCCAACATAAAGTCCCCTTGCCCCACCTTTCAGACATTTTACGAGTCTGGAGATATCTGATAGATACACATCAAGGTGTGTATATACGCCATAACATAACTACATATCTGTTCTATATTCCTTTCATTCTACGGAAGTAGAAAAACAACAAAAACGTTAAGTTGTCTACTTTACTGATCTGCGTAAATTACTTTGTGATTCTACAGGTAGGCGCTTTTCACAGTTTTCTTTTTCTCTCACACTAACAAGTGTTGATTCTACCAGATTGGTGAAGACACTCTCTCATTGTTCGTTATAACAATAGACGTAATTACATAATAGGCAGTTTGTAAAATGAAGTGGCGTTTAATTGACCTCCCATAGGATGTATTAACGGGTATGATTGATATGAATCTAGAGATTACGAAGCTGATAGTTATCACTTTCAAAGTACCTGTAGGAGTTTTAAGACTCCTCAAGCTGAGGTTTAGGTTTCAAAAATGTATTTTGACGCGTTCTTATGCGTTTTTATCGGGCTTTGTTTTTATATACTGGTATCTTTGTTTTCGCCAGTATACTGACAGGCAAATGGATATTGCCTGGCCAATTTGATACTGTGTGACAGCCACGGAAAGATCTGGTTTGAGATTAGGAGTGGGAGACAATAGTGGCTTGCGCGCGGGACAAAATAGCTAGGTGGCCCGCATCGCTTTAGGCGAGAGCCGCCATTCAAAACGGACCACCCAATAATTCGCTCTCTGATCGCAAATATGGAAGATGGGGGAAACAAAATGACCACGATAAGAATATAGTGAAAAACCAAGAAGATTAGCGTGAATCCGAGTTGGAAAATTGCATGATGAGAAAGACTCTTCTGCCCGGATCAGCTTGATATAGTATTGTAGCCATCAGAAAGATCTTCTTGTAGATTGGGAAAAGATTCCAGCAGGTATACAGGTGCAGGGTCTATCTGTCTACCTGAATAAGAGACGGTCATAGTGATCCTCATCTTTGTTGTGCAATCAGATAAACAAATTTCCGATCGTATCAATTCTGACCACCAAGAAGGAAGGAATCCTTCAATATGTATTCATGTTCTTCAAATGGACCGGATATTGAATTACATTTATAGAGATACCTTGACAAAAATAACCTGCTTTGCAGACTCCTCTAGCTTTTATTTTACACCAGTTTTCTAAGTTTGGTCTGCATGTCAGAAAAAAGTTGGAGGAGTCTGCATTGGAGGCTAATACAAACACAACGCTCTTTCGAAA